TTCTAACCTTTTTATCTTTCTTTTAACTTCTTTGTTAACCTTTGTATGCATGTAGATTGATATTTACCCTTCCTCGTACACATGCAAGACTTTCTTGTTGGCCTAGACATTAAGTCAGTCATATACACTCTGTTGAAAATAGGTCCTTGGATCGGTTTGAGTTAGGATTATTTTTGCCAACAAACCAGTTTGTGAGTATTTTTTCTCTAAGGTTTGGCATTTACAGGGAGGACATAAAAAAGTAAGGCATGGTTGCAAATATTCTCTGTTAGTTCATATCCAGGTCGCCTGTACAGACGTAGAGAAAACATTGTCTTAACCTGCAATGAACTTTCATTGTCGTCGATTTCTGTAATATTTCGATAAAAACCAAGACTTTTCACTAAAAAACGTAGCGATTTACGCTACCAAAGCTGTTGTTAAATCGAATAGACGTGGCGTTTCTTCTGTACAGACAAAATACACGGTGTTTTTATTAACTCCTCTTAGGCTATTCTAGTTTACTGTAAATATTGATCATTTTAATGTCTTGTTCAGGCTTTATCCAGCTTAAAACCTTTCTTACTATTCATGTTTTATACAACGCTTTCTGCGTCTCTCTGCCTTTCTTACAATCGTTGATAAGTTTAATGTTAACTTTTAGCAAGCTGTAAATTTTGAATTTTATCTAAGAAAGTTCGAAAAAGATCTCGATGGTGACTGTAGCTATCGATCTGTAAGTCACGCATACTTCATTACTCACAAATATATTGAAATTGAGAAAAAATCATTAATCAAATAACGCAACAAAAAAAAATTTTTTTGAAGTCGTGAAAGAAGAAATTAATATGCTAGCAACCCAGAAAAAGTAACAGCGATGGTGTTCCGAAACATGACGTCATATTCAGCACGCTAAGAAAGCTAGGAGTAAACATCCTTCTAACGCTAAAGGATGGTGTACGTTAAGTGCAATTTCCTTTTCGCTAATAATAATTTATCTCTGGTGAGCAGTTTGAACAACGCTGTTGGAATTGTGAAAAGTGATCAAAAAGACGTCGTGGAGCCTTATCTTGTTATAAAATGATTTAAAGCTCAATTATAAAATAATATGCGGAAGAAAATGTCGATCAAGTGACGGATGATCCACATCTAACAAACTCCTAGTAAAGTAAAGAGCCCTTACCATAGACATTTATAACAATGATAGACAGCTCATTTTACAGCGATTCTTTTTTGAAAATGTAGTCTTTTTTTCTAACAAACTGACTTCTTTATAACCTCTATTTCCGAAATAGTTTTTTTTATCTATTTAATTTTCGAGTCATAGCAAGCTCTTAAAGTTTCTTTTTTTTTCAATGACAGCTGAGAACTTTAGTACTCAATATTAACTCTTATCATTTCAGCCAAGCCAACGATGAACATTGTATCCCCTTTATCTACCTTTAGGTGTGAGAATCTGGTTGTTGTAGCTTGTGTGATCGACTATTTAAGTCTGTCTACTTGCTCAGTCAACTTGTAGTTTTAGGTTTTTCTAAGCCTTAAGGATTTGTTGTCCAATTTAGGTATCGTATTCCTCAGCCTATATAACAGTACGTTAGAGACAGTCTAAAGCGCTAAACTAAGCTATAAAACTAAACAATCTGAAGCGCTAAGTTGAGTTAGAGAACTGATAGCATATCTATTATTTTATATAGGAATCTTATAAAATAGAAGTATGTTAGTAAACAGTAATTGGGAATTCAATGGTACAAACCTTTCAAATTCAGAAATTTACCGAAATGTTAGAACTTTTTTCTGGGTTTCTTAATAATATAACTATACATTTAGACAATTTCTCTGAACCAAAGAAATATGTTTACATAGTAAAAAGTGAAACGTTTATCTATTTATCGTTACTAACATAAGTTTTAGTAATATTACTTGTGGTGTTAATGTAAGTTTACTGAAAAAGTAATCACTGTAAATCTGCACTCGTTTGTTTTAACAACTATAACTTTTTCTACACTTGATTAACACAGGAAAACTTTTAGCTTCTTAATACATTTCCATAATTTTTAGCATGCAAAAATTAAAGTGATTTCGAGAAAAATTGATATTTCATACTGAGCCACTTATAATAATAATATTGTTATAATTACCATTAGGTGAAAGTTCAACACATGTTTGTTTGTTGTTAAGAACAAAGCTGCATAATGGGCTATTTGTGCTCTGCCTACAACAGGTCTTGAAACTCGATTTTTTAGCCTTATAAAACCTCAGATTTACATCTGATTCATTTAAATTCAATACTCTTTATTTCCTTTACTACAGCCCGGCATGGCCAGGTGGATAAGGCGCTCGACTCACAATCTGAGG